TGTATGTTCGTTATCCGGCTGCTCTGCTCGTGTTCATCTTCAGTTCTCTCTTCACAGCAGTTCAGTCAGTGTACTGTTTGAGTAAATGAATTACTCCGGGATATTGGTTTATTTCGACTCAGAGGGAGTGTCAGCCACGTTATAAAAGTGAATAACTTAAGTAATTTATGGATTAATGCTTACTGGAGACGCGAACCGTTTCAAATGATTCAGACCGATTTGGTGAACTGGTTCAACCGGTTCACTAAGAAGAACCGGTTAAATCGAACAATTCGTTCGCGAACCGGACATCACTACAATGAGCAAGCAGGCCGTTGTGCGTGTAAAGAGACAGCCATCCGAGCACTTCTGCCTGCAACATGCCGAAGCGCAAATGCACATTTACCGATGAGTTACAGAAGAAATTCCCCACTTACTCTCCCGGTCGGGACAAGTGGGTGGCTGCGTGCACTGTGTGCAAACCTGGCACATATGTTTCGGTGTCAAATGGGGGCGCCACAGATCTCAAAGCTCACATGGACACCGAAAAACATAAAAAAGCTGTGCGAGGTGAGAGTAGTTCAACAAAGTTGACGGAGTTCTTTGTGAGACCCGGGAAATCAGAGGATGCTGTGAATGCAGCGGAGGGTGCATTGTCATTTCATACAGTGAAACACCATAACAGCTACAGGTCCATGGATTGCAATAGTGCATTGCTAAAAAAGGCATTCCCAGATTCTGACACCGCCAAAAAGTTTAGTAGTGGCCGCACTAAGACCGAAGCCATTGTGAATGGTGTTTTAGCACCCCACTCTGTTGAAGTCACACATGAAGCACTGAAAGAAATCCAGTATTGTGGTATTTGTACAGACGGGAGTAACCACGGAGCAGTGAAAATATTCCCTGGAATTCGACGTGATGAAGGGGGAAACAATGTGTTTGCAAATTTGAAGAGGTTGTTGCAGAACAAGACTCTGATTGGTGTGGGTTGCCAAGCACACATATTGAATAATTGTTCACAATAGATGTTGACCTTGAGAATATCATGTTTAAAATCTACCAGTACTTCCACATTTACACTGTGCGCACTGAGAACCTGAAGGAGTACTGTGATTTTGTTGGCATTGAGTACAGGAGGATGCTTTCTCACAGCAAGACAAGGTGGCTGTCATTGTTCCCAGGCATTGAGAGCATGCTACAGATGTTTCCAGCTTTAAAGGAATTCTTTCTGTCACAGCAAAAGCCACCCATAGTGATCAAGAAGTTTTTTGAAAACGACTTCAGTGGCACATGCACTCACTCATGTCTGTGTTCCACACCCACATTCAACAACTGGAAAAGGAGAACAACTCCATCATGGAGGTGAAGAAAATATTGAACAGCATCCACAACATTCTTCTTTTTAGGACATGTTTTGTCCCTTATCTTAAGAATCAGTGACCGTTTAGAGATTGTGTCAACAGGATATGTTGGGAAATACCGGGAGGTTAATCAGTTCTGATCTTCCAGGGGTGCATTGTAAGCATTGCAAGCCAACTATGGTTACAAGTTCTGTTGATATCAACATAGTTTAACAATTTGGTGTTTCACAAAAGCATATAGTTCCAACAAACATTCACAACAATGTCGCAAACTAAGGTGGTTGGAACTATAGCTCTCGAGCTGCAGTTAGAAGCATATAGTTTATTGATAAAATGATGTGGAAATAGATCATGCCTTTGTACACAATAAGCAAGTTATGTACAGTCTATATCTTTCATCCCATATAAATATGTATATACATTTTAAATATCACAAACATGACTAAATAATAATATATAATTTAATAATTTAATAACTATATGTGCATACGCCTGCATATAAGTCATAGAACAGAAGAGTATTAATAATATGATTTTAAACAGATGAAATAAAGTGGGTTGAATCCAAGTAGCAATAAAAAATAATAAATACACAAATAAATTGTTTAGGTTAAGTACATCTGTCTCTGAAGGGGAAAAAAACCCAGCAGCGATTCGATTTTACGCCTATTGTTAAATTTAAAGCATTGCACAATACTCTCATTATTAAAAAAGATCACTATTAAATGTTTTAGTGTTTTCACAACTTTTCTAAAGTGTTTCATTTAAATGGATACATGAATATAAAACCGTTATATTTTTTAAACGTTCTTAAAACATGCAGATTGCATTATATTAATACCCAAATAAAATGTCCCACAAAATTATATAATAAATAAAAAAAACTGCCCATGGTGGAAGCTTGTATGGGGCCACATAATCTTTCATTTTCTGTGCGTTTTATTTGACATAAGTCGGCGCCCTTGCACAGGTGTACTGACAGTGATATTGATATATTTTTCTAATTACTGAATGATTTGGTCTGGTTGCATTTTGTTTTAAAAGATCTTTCCAAAGTACAGGTTACGTTATACTAACACATGAATAAAACATCTCAAAAAGTTTCAGGTTGGTTTGGTTTTGCTTTCATGTTGTCAAAAGTGTACTTGTATTTTGTCTTTCTTTCTTTCTTTTCTTTTGAGAACTTAAAGAAAACATACCAGTTTGGTATTTCCACAACATTTCTAAAATGATTTATTTTGGTTGCATACCAGTTTCTAAAAAATGTACTATAACATTACCCAAATGCAACCAAAATACAACATTGTGAAACGTAGTAAAAATGTTTTGTGTTTGCTGGGGAGGTACACTTAGATTTAGAAAAGAGAGGGGCAGGGACTTCAGCTCTCACTGTGCACTGCTCCTCTATAAAGAGCTCCAACATTTCTAAAATTATTTATTTTGGTTGCATTACTTTTTACATTTTATGTGTAGTTTCTAAAAAATGTACTATAACATTACCCAAATGCAACCAAAATACAACATTGTGAAACGTAGTAAAAATGTTTTGTGTTTGCTGGGGAGGTACACTTAGATTTAGAAAAGAGAGGGGCAGGGACTTCAGCTCTCACTGTGCACTGCTCCTCTATAAAGAGCTCCAACCTGAGCCGTTCAGTCCTACACATATCTTCAAAAAAGTCACACAACTCTTGTGTAAGTACCTGATCCCCTACAACTCATACACTTACTATATATTTTTTAATTATCTGATGTTTTGTCGCAACGTGCACTTCAAAAAGTTTCATGCTGTGAATTTAGTGCTTTTTAGGCAAATTATTATAATTGTTTAATTTGAACAAGGTACGTTCATTGTTATTTATATGTAAGTTATGTTTATATTTTGGCATCTTTGGAGAGTAGGCTATTACTGGAATGAATAAGACTTCATAAATTATGCTTGTGTCGCAATTTGTGATGATCATTAGTTTTCTAATGCCATTAATTTATAGTTAATTCTGTGAACCAGTTTGATTGGAAATGGGCCAGATCTGCCAGTACATTTAATTTATATTTCAATGGTTGGTTTAATATGTTGATGTTATTACACAAATCTGTTATTCAATGCATATTCAACGGTTACATTTAGTTTGTGTCAAGTCAAGCACCCTTTATTAATATACTGAATATAATTAAAACATTGGGTTATCAATGCATTAAAATATTGGATGTATGTTGTATATTAGGTAACACTTTATTTCGATAGTCCACTTTAGACATTTTATTAACAGTAAGTAACTTTGCAACTACATGTCAACTAGCAGTTAGTAGAGTATTAGTAGACTGTCTGCTTAATATCTTCTAACACTTTCTTTGTCAACTTATTCTACTAACCCTAAACCTACCCTAACAGTCTACTCTGAGAGTTAGTAGACATGTAGTTACAGATTAATGAGAATTAGTTGACATGTAGTTACAAAGTTACTTGTAGTTAGTAGAATGTCTAAAGTGGACTATCGAAATAAAGTGTAACTGTATATTAATTTAATGTTATTTTATTGTTTATATTTGCAATCATGCATTTTATTCTTCTAACACCCTTTGAAAGGACTGAAGGTGCTTGGACGCTTCTCAGTGTCACATAGTTCTACAATTCTTGAACCTGTGAATGTAATGTACATACGTTTTTTAGTCTGGTTCTCACGAGAGCACTTGGAGAATTGGTTTGCTACTCACACGGCACATAGTAAGAATAGTAATAATAGTATCATTGCACTTTATTTAGTGAGTTTATTTTTCAAGTACTATTATATTTTAAAATGAAAAAATTAGTAATAAATAAAAATTAAATTAATTTATAGTACATATAGTACTTACAAAAAAAATTGAATGCTAATATTTAGATTTTAATTTGTTTAGATTTTAAAAAAAAAATTTTATTAGATTTTTAAACCTAAAATCAGCAAGCTTATATTTTTGCGGGTTGCTAGTGTCGTGGAACAAACAATGGTCTTTTTCAAAGTTGTCAAAAAAGCTCAAGAAGCAGAGCCTATCTGTCATATGCCTGGCATCTGGTTTGCCTCAATTTCTTATCAGTGGAATTTGGCTAGATCAGCCACCTTCATTCTGCTGCCAATAAGGTGGTCACATGAAACATTCTTCAAATATGTTTACTTGTTCCTGTCAACTTCTGGGAATAACCCAGAGTTCATTGGCTTATTTAAGTTCACTTGGTACAATCCAATGGAAACCACCAGTATTGCCCAATGGATAGGCCCTCAGACTTACATTCTACATGAGGACATCCAGTATTGGAATAACTCAAGAATATTAATCAGTATATTGATTACTTTCATGACCATTCATCATATTTTAAGTAAGATAATACCATATTGAGTAAATAGCATAATATATAATAGAATTACACAATACTAGCAAGTAAGTATATGCTCTGTCGGGTTTAGCGCTGCCGTGTGAAGCGCGTCAGTGAATGGAATGTCACAGTTTTGCGTTATACTCTGAAACTGGCAGCACATAGCCTAGATTTATGCTTTCAGGTTGAGTGGAAATCTTATAGAGTATTACAGTTGGTTGATCTAAAACTGTGATTGTGCATTAACAGCTGTCAACCATGTCAGTGCACAAATGAGCGGTCTGAACATATTTACGCATCGCATTTTTTATTTTGGTCATGCATGCGCACCACTTATGTGCACCCCTGGTAATGCATCCTGTTGCTGTTGTTTTTTGTATCTACAGATATTCCACTATACAGTAAAAATGTCATATAGTCTCATATCCCGAAACAATTATAATTTAATCTTTTTTCTGTTTTTGTTTCTTCCCAGGCACATTGCTCTCAGACTGGGACCTTCATTATCAGGTAATTTATGAGTGAGAATGAATGGGTGATTCTTACAGTGTTTATATAGGGCTTAACTCCTGTGGGAAGGTGAAAATATGTTGTGGCCACAAGATCATTTCGTCGAGAAAAGGAATCCTTCGCTCTTGGCCACGAGTTTAATGTGCAAAAAAATCTGCGTGACCATAGCAGAAAGAAAGCTGTTTTGTTCACAACTATTGTCGTGGGCCCTCCAGGAAAAGGATTATTACACAACCTAAAGGTCAATTAATCTTACTGTGGAAGTGATGTGGCTATTCTGACAAAACAAGACCAGTTTCTGGGCAAGCTACTCAAGTTTCAGAGAAAATACCTAATTCAACTAGAAACTACAAGTTTGCTATATTTAAGCTATTTTTAAGTGTTTTTCACAACTATTGTCGTGGGCCCTCCAGGAAAAGGATTATTACACAACCTAAAGGTCAATTAATCTTACTGTGGAAGTGATGTGGCTATTCTGACAAAACAAGACCAGTTTCTGGGCAAGCTACTCAAGTTTCAGAGAAAATACCTAATTCAACTAGAAACTACAAGTTTGCTATATTTAAGCTATTTTTAAGCTGTAATTAGACTGAATACACGATTGTCCAACACATTCAACTCATCTTATATTAACACACTCTCAGAATCCCTTGTGGTCACTTTTTAACACACACTATACCCCTTTAGCACCATTTTTCAACATACAGGGAACTCCATTGCTTTCAATGAGAAAACTTTGATGTCATACACAGACGATGAAATTATATATTGGGGTATAATTTTGCCATTATTACATATGTTGGGGTGTGATTTTCAATTTAATCAGCCAGTATAATTTTATTTACATTTACTTATTTTTATTTACACTATTTAGACATGTTTGAGCATGTAACCGAACTCCACCCCTAAACCGACCCATTTGTATGTTATATAATATAAAACACAAGACATAAGAGGTAGATATGACTACAGACACAATTTATTTAAAAAGTACAAATATTCCAAATGTTCTGAGGCCAAGCAATTGATTTGTGTGAGGAACACTGTCTTCATCCACCATAAAGTTCTGTGCACACATTCAAAAATTGCTGCACCAGAAGTGACGACACAGCGGTTTCACAAGGTTTTTAATTGCAATTTTAACAAACAAACAAAGGATACAATAACAGACAGCCTTTTAAACAATAAACAAGTTACAGAATAATAGTTCGCCAGAAAAATTATATGAAAGTAATTAACTTAAAGAAAATATTTCCTTAGAAAAGGAAGAGAAAAAAAGAGAAAGCACATAAATAAAAATGAAAGCATAATAGGAAAAAATATTAAACATGGCACAAATTCTAGATTTCTTTTTATATATCACTTGTTATTTATTAGTTTAACATTGTAGTTAAATACAAATTCAGTTGTTGTTTGAAGATATTAAAGAGGGGGGTTACTTTTTGTGTATTTACATTCATGACACTCCCAAAACAAATGACCTACAGTTTCAGATAAAACCTCACAAAAAAGAGCAGGATCTGAATTTCAGATAACAGATATCTTTGAGCCCCTATTATTGTTCCTGAAGACCATACACATTTCCAAAGAGATGGCCTTGAAAACTATAATAAATTCTTAACTAGATACTGGAAATGATCTCAAAACAAAATCAGAGTAGATGAATAAATTACCATCATCAAGCAGCTGTTTCAGTAACATTGCTTAATTACTGAGCCAGTTTTAAAGAAATGTCTCTGGTTATGACTGTAAGCATGGTTCCATGAGAAGGGGAATGAGACACTCCATCTTGGATTGACAGTATGGGGAAACCCATCAGCATGACCGGTGTCTGAAGCATGTGTAAACTCGCTTCAATTTCATTGGCTGGTGACAGTGCGTGATGTCATTAGTGGAGTGCCCGGAAGTACAAGAGGGTGCCCGTAATACACCTCTTCAACTTTTTTTGTCTGAAGGAGACATGCAGGCATGCCCAATGGCCTGGCAATGAGACACGGTGTCTCGTTCCCATTCTCTGGGAACCATGGTTACAGTTGTAACCTGAGAAACTCCCTTTCGAAGTGAAACTCAACACTGTATCTTGGATTGATGCTATGGGGAAAAAACCCCCACTCCGCTATGTCGCAGGATTGCCTGCCACACTAAGTTAGAAACATGCACAAACACAGTGAGCATAGCATACATTTACTCAACACCCTTATCTACCATGAATATAGAAGATATTCTGGCTCCTATGCCTTGAAAGCAAGGGAAGTCCCAGACTCTAGAATCTTCCTCCCTCCCTTGCGGGCTACCACAGTCCTAAAGGTGAGGCTTTATGGAAAAAGTGGGTAAGCTGTAAGAGTGTGCTTTCACTCATGGAATGCCTGCCACAGGGAGAAAAATTTCACAATTGACTTGATTTCTCATACAAAAAGCTGACCCATGAACATTTAAAGACATACACAAATTAAAAAAAGACAACATGTAAACCTCAAAAACCTATTAAATCTCAAATATATAGATATAAAACCATCGTAATATATATTGAGCGGTATAAAACGTGTCCTGTGTGACAGTGTCACAAGCTAAAAGGGGCCGCTTGCCAAAGGGAGCCTGCAAAAAAGCCCTGAGCGGCTACCGGCTCTGATGATGCTGCCTCCCCAAGGGGAAATCTTAGCACAAGACAGGCTCAACTCCAAAGGAAGCCACAGGAGGGCTAACCTTACTTAAGACCCTTAAGTCTGGGGGAGGCAGCCCGAACACTGCTTTTTTTTTTTTTTACTGATTTAGAAAGGGAGAGTAGGAGACCCTCTTTCTTTTGACCCGCTCCTCGAAAACCCTGAGGAAGCATGTAAAAATGGATGCTTTTATGTCTGCACTCTCACCTCCAGCTTACAGTACTGGAGGGGGGGGAACCTAGAAAGTGGTTAGACAATGTACTCGGTTAATTACGTAACCTTGGTTCTCCAAATACTGAAGCCTTTTAAAATAACGCAGTGTAACTGCACGGCCATTGGCTCGTGCAGTGAATTAAAAACAAACCAATGGCGACAAAGCCCGGCAGAATGGGGGACACTTATAAGCGGACACTTCGCCATAGGATCCTCAGGTTACTTCGACTGAAGCGACGACCGAGTCGTGCAGCTACATAGCACGGCCAGCAATGCAGTACTCGTTTCCGTGTCTCAGGGTACCGAGGATATGTTAGTAGCCCGGCAGAATGGGCGGGGCATCTGGCTATATAAGCGGACACTTCGCCATAGGATCCTCAGGTTACTTCGACTGAAGCGACGACCGAGTCGTGCAGCTACATAGCACGGCCAGCAATGCAGTACTCGTTTCCGTGTCTCAGGGTACCGAGGATATGTTAGTAACCGAGTACGTTCCCTATCGATACTCCACTCATACTGCGTCTGTTAAGATGCTATGGGGAACCAGTACAGCACCGCCGTGCTATGCTAGAGGAATGACTAATACTTGAACTTGCCCTGAGCACCAATGGGGCCCAGAGGGACCAAGTATTTTGGAGGGAAGCCCCGCAGGAGGCAATAGGGCCAAACATTTCATTTGGAAAGTCTCTGCTTCGTGACCAGAGACCCTTTGGTGCGGTCACCAAAGCATACAAAATGCTGTTCCGACTGCCTGAACGGTGCAGGAACGCTCAATATAAATAATTTCAATGCCCCGGGGGGCAGAGTAAATTCAGCTCTTAGTCCTGCTCCGAAGGAGGAAGCGGCGAAAGAGCTATTACCTGTGCTCTGAACTGAGTCGAGAGCACTTTAGGTACAAAACCATGCCTCGGCTTCAGGACGACCTTGGAGTCGTTGGGCCCGAATTCAAGACAGGTGGGGCTCACCGAGAGCGCCTGCAGATGTGCCATATGCTTTACCGATGCTAACGCAAGTAGCAGAGCAGTTTTTAGCACCAGGGGACGAAGGTCAATGGACTGTGGCGGCTCGAAGGAAGGGCTCTTCAGAGCCCTCAACACCGTGGGCAGGTCCCATGTAGGGACGGTGATAGGGCGAGGCGGGTTGAACCTCCTAGTCCCTTTCAAAAAAACTAACAGCTAGGTTGTTTCTGCCCACCGACTGGCCAGCTATAGGAGCGTGTGAGGCTGCTATGGCTGCTACATAGACCTTGAGCGTGGAGAGAGAACGACCCTTATCCAACAGCTCTTGCAGGAAGGACAATATCAGAGGTATGTCGCAGGAAAATGGGTCTGCGCAAGGGGCCGTACACCAGGCGGAGAAGACAGACCATTTAAGGGCATAGTGTCGCCTCGTAGAGCTCTAGCCTGAGATATTGCATTTAGCCACGTTCTCGGGGAGATCCACAGGCTCCCATCAAGAGGCCAGAGGTGCAGAACCCACAGCTCGGGCTGGGGGTGCCATATCGTTCTGTTCGCCTGAG